TGAATATTGTCTCAAAAGTCATGGAAATTTATTGGTAAAAATGTGTACGAACCCTGCTTTACGTTTCAAAGTTGATTCATGAGTGTCAGAATCAACTGATACATGATTCTGTATTGATAAGCTGATTGTGTTTGTCAGGATGTGGAGCAGGTTTCAGTGCGTGTGACTGATGGGACAGAAGCTCAGGATTCAGTCTGGAGCGTCAGAGATCAGAGATCCAGAGACACACAGGACTCAGAGCTCAGCCTCACTTTACTCTGTTATACTGACGCTCAGGATCATGAATCCACTGATCAAACCTCTGACTGTAACGCTGGAGAACAGCAGATGCTGCAGACGCCGCTGAAGATGTGCTCCGTCAAACTGGTGGACTGCAGGAACCTGATAGAGAGCCGAGGAGAAGAAACCACCGCAGAGAAAGAACAACAACACAGTGATGAGGAAGAGGAGGATGATGATGATGAGAATAATGGGGATGATGAAGATGAAGAATTCATTCCTCCAGGTTTGTTTCTTCCTTTTACGACCGCTTGTTATTTCTATGACACTTGAATGTCAGCAGAGTCTCTGCAGGATCAGGTTCATATTGACTGATGGTCTCTGATGATCTGATCAGGTTTGAGAGAAGATTTTCTGAGGTATTTGGGGACATAATGGCAAATTATAGTATTTTTTTTCTCTCTCTGTTGAGATTTTGATCTACAATGTGTTTTTTAAGTGAGCCAGATTTGCTGTGCCTGTTTGTAAGACTGCACGATTTGGCCAAAAATGAAATTTCAATTAATTATAATTAATTAAATTATAAAATCATGAAAGAAATACATTGTGATTGCAATAATATTATTATACTGTAAAATTACATTATAAATATTATAAAATGGGTGGCAAATGTTGCATTTCTAAACTCACTTTACCAATATGTCTATGCATGGGTTTATTTAATTAACTTGTAGGCTTTAGGCAATTAGATACAGTAACTGCACTAAACCATATTGTGATTTTTTTAAAATTAATTGTTCACCCTTAGACTTAGATATTACAGAATTTCTGTATGTTTCCTGAGTGACACGAACAAATCTCAAATATATTTTAAAAACCCAGAATTTATAACCTTTTTTTTTGTTCATTTCAGATGATAAAGGCTGTTCATCTTCTGATGGAGAAACAGACTTAACATCAAAAGAGCAGCTGACAGTCAAGAGTTTCTCCTGCGCCACCTGTGGAAAAACACTGAGTTCAGAGGGTCATTTAGCGAGACACGAGAGAACACACAAAGAACAGAAATACTTCAGCTGTAAGATATGCAACATCAGCTTTCCTACCGCAGAAGAGAGGAGACTTCATTCAAAAGAGCACAGCGGGAAGAAGGAGTTTCACTGTGAACAGTGCGGGAAGGATTTTTTCACCACTGCTCAAATTATGAAAGCCCATATAAAGACACACGACGAAAAGTTTCATAAAGTTTTATTAAAAAAAACGTGATTTTTTTTATTTTTTTTTATTAATTGTTCACCCCTAGACTTATATAGACAGATCATTACAGAATTTCTGTATATTTCCTGAGTGACAAACAAATCTCAAGTATATTTTAAAACCCAGAATTTATAACCATTTTGTTAATTTCAGATGACAAAGGCTGTTCATCTTCTGATGGAGAAACAGACTTAACATCAAAAGAGCAGCTGACGGTCAAGAGTTTTTCTTGTGCCACGTGTGGAAAAACACTGAGTTCAGAGGGTCATTTAGCGAGACATGAG